GTGGATCTTGTCAGGATGGAGGCTGTTCGACAACTGGGACTGATTGGTCGACTGATGTCTGACAAGCAACCCAACATTAAGTCACTGAAAATAGCTTTGACGAAGGCTTGGAATCTGAAAAAAGGGTTTCAGATCACTGACCTGGGGGATATGTTATATGCCTTCCAGTTTTTGGATCTTGATGATAGAAACAAAGTCTGCTTCGGAGGTCCCTGGCATTATGAAAATAATGTTATGGTCTTCATATCGAGCCTGGTTATTAAGAAACCTACTCCTGAGGCACTACATATGATTGATATTTGGATCCAGATTAAAGAATTCCCAGCGGAATTGAGAACACAGACTATGGCGGAAAAGATAGCAAACAGGTTTGGTTCTCTAGTCTGGTTCGATGACAGTTCAGGAACTATGTGGGATACATGCATGAGAATGCGAGTGAGCATATCCATCAACAACCCTTTGAAGAAAAAGATCAAACTGAACATAGGGGGAAATTTGGTGGATTACCTTGTGAAGTATGAAAAGCTGCCGATGTTTTGCTATTCTTGTGGGCGCATAGGACACCCGAAATTGAGATGCCCCAAGCCATCGGGTCTGGTTCCTAATCCTTTTGGCTCAGACTTAAGAACCAGTCCTCCAGGACCTCGGAACTAGCTGTCCTACACATCAAAGAAAGAGGATGCTGAGGTGTGGGCGTCCCTGCGAAAAAAGTTTGACATGGAGAGTGTTAGTTCCAATTCATGTGGCGACAGAGCACCCTCTGAAGAATTAGCAGAGCCTAATCTTGCTAGAAACACGTCTGAGATGGTAATTGGTAATGAAGCAACTCATCAGAAGAAACAGGAGATCGCGAGTGATGGACCAAAAGGAAATTCTCAAGGCTGTAGCACTGAGAAGGTTATGGGAGAGGGTCTCAGGGATCCTGTGCAACCTACAGCGGAGATGAGGACACCAAAGACAGTGGGTGGGCAGTCCCAGTACCAGAAGAAAGGGGAGGATACTATTAAGCCCTCGGTGGGAAAGATAACAAATGGGGGTGCCCTGCACCAGTTTGTCATGGGCACAAACAACACCTGGCCTAGTAAAAGGCATCATAACAGAGTGTGGAGACGTCAAGAGAAGACTGTGCCAAGACACACAACTAAGGTTCAAATCACCCCACAGAAGAGGGTGGAAGAAGACTGCACTGAGGCTGAAGCCAGAGAAAAAGAGATCCAAAACCAGACAAAGAAAGCAAGGGTGCTCAATTTTGAAGAGGGTGAGACTCTGAACCCTTCTGAACCAAAACTAAACATGGATGGCGGAGAGGCGGACCCTGTCAAGGAACAGGGCCGCCCAGCTCAATGAGCATTATCAGCTACAACTGTCGTGGGCTGGGGAAAACCACGACAGTTGCTCGAGTAGCTCAGCTACTAACTGAACAGGACCCCAGCATAGTGTTTCTCATGGAAACAAAGAAGAAAGAGCATGAATGGGAAGATACTATACAGAAATTGGGATGGACAAAAGGCCGAGGGGTTGGATCGAGAAACAGAGCAGGAGGGCTGATCATGATGTGGAAGGAAGAAATGATTGTTGAGGTGAAGACTGCCACTCAGAACTACATTGATGTAGTGGTAACAGAGGGATCAAAGGATAATAAGTGGCGGTTAACTGGGGTGTATGGTTGGCCGGAGCAGGAAAACAAACCTAAAACTTGGGAACTAATTAGAAGACTTCATGGTCAGTCAAACCTGCCATGGATTCTGTGTGGGGATTTCAATCAGGTCCTAAGTTACGAGGAGAAAAATGGAAGACATCCTCCTGACATCCAAAATATGGAGGATTTTCAAGTCACATTAGATGAGTGTCATCTAGAAGATATGGGGTACTATGGACCAATGTTTACTTGGGATAATGGTAAAACAGATGAAGACTTCTTAGAGCAAAGGCTAGACCGAGCTGTGGCTAATACAGAGTGGAAGAACGTGTTCCCTGAAGCACGTGTGATTCATCTTGATAGATGGACTTTAGATCACATCCCCATAAAAATTGAACTTAATCTACAAGAGGAGCAGATAAAATGGGGATGGCACTTCAAATTCGAGGCTTACTGGCAGAAGCATGAGGAATGTGGCCCTATTATTGAGAATGAATGGAAAAAGAATCCAGATCTACCACTGGAGGACAAGATCAAGAACTGCGAGAAAGCACTACTTGAATGGGGAAAGAAAACTTTTGGCAACCTGAAAGTGAGAAAGAGGAAGATAGAGCGAGCCCTAGCAAAACTATCAAAAGCAAAAAAGAATAGGGCTGTACTATTACAGCGTAGGGCACTGGAAAGGGAACTTAATGAGGTGCTTGATCTGGAAGAAATCAGGTGGAAGCAGAGGTCTAGATCAGACTGGTTAAAGGAAGGTGACAAAAATACTGGTTTCTTCCATCGCAAGGCTTCTAACAGAAGGAGACGAAACACAATCAAGGAATTGCAGGATGAGAGTGGTATTACTTTCAAAGGGCAGGAGGGAGTGATGGCTTGTTTCACTGATCATTTGATCAAACTTTATACTGCTGAGCAGACACCTAGTATCAGTGAGGTGTTGGAAATGGTGGAACCAAAAGTTACTCCCCAAATGAATCAAGAACTTATGAAGCCGTTCTCAAGGGAAGAAATATTTGAGGCCTTATCACAAATGGCACCAACTAGGCACCTGGTTCAGATGGGATGCCAGCCCTGTTTTTTCAAAAAAACTGGGCCACGGTTGGGGACACAGTTTGCCTAGAACTTCAAAGAATTCTCCTAACTGGGGTGGTTCCTCCCACTTTGAATCACACCCTGCTAGCGATGATACCTAAGACAAAGAAGCCAACCTCCCCTAAGGAATTCAGGCCTATAGCACTATGCAAAGTTCTATACAAGATCCTGTCAAAGGTAATAGCAAATCGACTCAAGCCTATACTGGATGGGGTCATTACTGACACTCAAAGTGCTTTTGTCCCGGGGAGGAATATCACAGACAATATTATGATTGGTTTTGAGTGTTTCCATGCAATGAAAAACAGGAAACAAGGGAAGAAGGGATTTGTGGCAGCCAAGCTAGACATAGCTAAAGCTTATGATCGTGTGGAATGGAATTTTTTAGAGAGGATAATGTTGAAGTTGGGATTTGATGTTGATTGGGTGAAACTGATTATGAGCTGCGTGACCAGTGTTAGTTATGCGGCATTAATTAATGGGCATCAAACACAGACTTTTAAACCTACAAGAGGATTGAGGCAAGGGGACCCTATATCCCCCTACCACTTCCTCCTATGTGCTGAGGGTCTTTCAGCATTGACAAGAAAAGCAGTGGCAGAGGGGAAATTTCGAGGAATTAAGATTAGCAGTAATGGACCTATGATTACTCATCTGTTCTTTGCTGACGACAGTATATTTTTCTTTGAAAATAAGAAGGAGCAGGGAGAAGCCCTCAGAGACCTTCTCAGGTCATATGAGTTAGCCTCGGGTCAGCAGGTGAGTTTAGCTAAATCTGAGCTATCCTTTAGTACTAATGTGGTAGAAAGGGACAGAGAGGAGATGGGTGCAATTTTGGGAAGGAGAAGAGTCATGTATCATGACAAATACCTTGGCCTCCCTACAGTTATAGGCAGAGCTAAGAAAGCTGTCTTTGCACAACTTATTGACAGAGTAAGAAACAAGATTAAAATGTGGAAAGGGAAATTGCTATCTATGGCTGCTAAAGAAGTGCTCATCAAAGCTGTGGCACAGGCTCAAACCCTATATGCCATGTCAGTTTTTCAAATTCCCCAGGGAGTGATTCAAGAAATTCAGCAAATGATTGCTAGCTTCTGGTGGGGCAGGAAAAGAGAAGAAAGAAGAATACATTGGATGAGTTGGGAAAAGTTATGTCGCCCTAAATATGAAGGAGGGATGGGATTCAAGGATTTGCATGGTTTTAACATTGCACTATTAGGAAGACAGGTGTGGAACCTACTGAAAAAGCCTGACTCCCTAGTAGCAAAGGTGCTAAAGGCTCGTTATTACCCTCACTGTGACATCTTGGAAGCAGATATAGGAGGGAATCCGAGCTATATCTGGAGGAGCCTAATGCAAGCACAGTCTCTAGTTAGAGAGGGGACAAGATGGAGAGTGGGGAATGGTGAAAACATTCGCATATGGTGGGATCGTTGGATCCCAGAAGCTGGGAATTTTAAAATCCAGTCGCAAGCTACAGGACTGGGTGCTACTGAGAAGGTTTCTAGTCTGATTGATTGGGGAACTAGTTCATGGAAAAGCAACTTATTGCAATCCTATTTCCAACCTAATGACAGGGCCCGAATTGAACAGATTCCAATCCCTTCTCAACCTAGGCCTGATGTAGTGATATGGGGAAGAGACAAAACTGGGAAGTATTCGGTCAGATCAGGATACAAAGAATGGAAAAGAAAGCAAGCATCAAACCAAATTGAGAGATATATACCGATTGACTGGAAGAAAGTTTGGATGCTAGAATTGCCTCCTAAAGTTCGAATCTTTGTATGGAGATGGGGCAGCAACATTTTACCAACAGGAATAAATCTCAGTCGGAGAATTAAGGATGCCTATGATGAATGCCCATTTTGTGGGCTAAAGGAAACCCAGGAGCACATCACAAGGGACTGTGACTGGGCAGGAAGGGTGTGGAGATCGAGTGATCTGGCAAATTTCTTTAAATTGGGTGAAGGCAAGAATTGTGAAGCGTGGTTATGTGATTTATTGGAAAGGGGTAATACAGAGGAACTAACGCAGGTGCTAATCACGCTATGGTTTCTTTGGAAAGAAAGAAACAATCATCTCTTCAACAACCCTAACCTAGAGGAATGGGAAATTGCGAGTAGAGCTCTGAATTACCTGGATGAGTACAAAGCGCAGCAGGGCCAGGACAGTACAGATACACCATCAACTCGCCCTCGAACCCAGATCAAATGGGAACCTCCACCTGCTGGAATTCTGAAACTCCACCGATGCGGCGATCCTAGGCATGGAGGGAACGGGTTATGGAATGGTTCTCAGAGATTGCTCAGGGAACTTTCTGATGGGAGCGACTTACCGAACGAAAAGGCGATGGCCGATTGAGATGGCGGAAGCCCAGGCGATGAGATGGGGACTGAAGCTAACCAGACTGTATTTTTCCCAACCGCTGCTTCTCGAGTCCGATTTCCAATCAGTGATACACAAGCTCAATCGGCGGGATGCAACAGAAATGGAGGTGGGGATGATCTGTGAAGAAATTCGGGATCTAGCGGCTGAAGAAGGAAATGTGGAGTGGAGATTCTAGAAGAGAGAAGGGAATGCATGCGCACATGAGATGGCTCGATTGAATTGTAGAGCTGAGGAGACAGAGATTTGGTTCTCAATGCCACCTGTCATTTTAGTATCTCTACTTTTACAAGAGAGCAATGTAGTCCCTAAACTTTGATTCATTGGAATACAGATTACCTTGTCAAAAAAAAAAAAAAAAACTATCATATACCTCAATTAGTCATGTGAGTCTGAATTTCATATTAAACATAGAGTGATACGAGCAAGGAATCGGTGTGCGTAGTTATCAAAGACGCATAGCCAAGAATAGGAATAAAAACTAGAAATAAGGCGAAATTGAAGTGCAATTTCACACCTGAGGGAAGGCTCTATCAATATAGGACAAAATCTCGAACACAATCAAGGGGAAAACTTGATAGATACAGAGAAAATTCACAAGCCCAAAAGCTCAATGAATCAATATAAAATCAACCTTTTTCAATGTCTGGCCTAAAATTCGAGTTTCAACGTTTATATAGGCTAGAGAAACAAAAATCGCACAAAAGTCTGAAAAGGAAAGAATCCAAATTAAAAAAGGTAAATTCACTCGTCAGCCCCGATCCTCTATCACGAGCCTTCGGATCCTCGATCGAGGATTGAGAACCACCTGACTGGGGGTCCTTCTGCTTTCATTCCCCGGTCCTCCTCATAATTCCTCAGTTGAGGAATTTAGTCCTCCTGGACGGGGGATTCACATTTAACTATCCCAGTCATGGCTGCTTATTCCCGGTCGCTTCCCTCCTGATCCACGGTCAGGGACCTTGGTTTACACTGGTTGGGGAATCACATTCGTCCCTCCCCGTTGAAGAAGTTTTGCCCTCAAAACTTGTGTGTTCATGCAAGAGAGACCATCACCAGAACTTCCCACTTGAATTCTTCTCAGCGTAGTCAACATGTGTCTTTGGGGAATAAGATGGGTTCCACTTCCGTCATCCGACTTTGAGTCACTTGCATTTCCCTTCTCATTTGCCCAATTCAGCACCATTTTAGTATTCAGCACCATTTTAGTCCGTCGATCTTCTTGCACTTTAGCTGGCGACAATGGTTTGAGCATAAACTTCCGATATCTTTGCTTGAACAGTAGATATTATGTCTCTCCGTCGTGAACAACTCCAAGATCATATTTCCATGGACGACCCAATAAGAGACGAGCAGTCTGCATTGGAGCAACATCACACCAAACTTCATCTGCATATTCACCAATCTGAAATCGAACATTGGCCTTCTTGTTAACCTTGATTAGGACTGTTAACTAGAACTTCATCTGCATTGGAGCGACAAGACGTGCTTTATATCTCATGACTTCACCCTTTTCATTTCGTTTCCGCACAAAAACCCATTTGTATCCCACTGGAGCATTTACAACTGGTATGTGTGACTTTGTCACTCTCTTATGGTCAGTAAAAGAATCCGGCAGTTGGTTTGCTAAAACTTGTAAATGAATTATCTTTTGAACTTCCAGTTCACATTGTCTAGTACGAGGATCAAAGTGAGAGAATGATAATTCATTCCAACAAATATATTTTCCCAGCTGTTTGTTCTCACCCCCCCCCCTAATGTTTGAAAAACTTATTCGTCAAAATGACAATCAGCAAAACGAGCAGTGAATAAATCTCCCTTCAAGGGTTCTGAGTATTTTATGATTGACGGGGACTCAATCTCCCGTCAGCTGTTTGTTCTAAGTATTTTAGTCATTGAAAGTTTGTGAAGTAAATTCTCCAACATTATCTAGACGTATTTTCTTGATTAAAAAATCAGGAAAATGTGCTCGTAGTCGAATCAATTGGACAAGTAATCTAGCAAACGCTAGGTTGCGAGTTGATAGTAAACACACATGTGACCATCTAGTTGATGCATCAACTAAAATCACAAAATATTTAAATGGTCCACCGGGTGGGTGAATTGGCCCGCATATATGATATATCACCATGTATACGTTCTAAAAATGTAAGAGATTCACTCTTTATTTTTACAGGTGATGGCCGTATAATCAACTTGCCACGAGAACATGCAGCACATGGTACCATCTTTAAACTGATAAATTGTATGACCTTTCAATGGATGTCTACATGTATTTGCAATGATTTTTCGCATCATAATCGATCCGGGATCGCCTAACCAGTCATGCCAAACTATAAAGTTATCGAGATTTGTAAACTTTTGGTTTACCACTGGCCACTGCATGTGTTTCAATTGTACTAATAAACGTGTTGTACAACCCAGAAGAAATAGTAGGCAATTTCTCCAATATATATTTCGTATCGGAGACCCTTTTTTTTAATCATAATATACACTTTATTCTCTTCTTCATTTGTCTCAATATGATGTCAATTTCGGCGAATATATTTGTAACTCAACAAATTTCTTCTAGACTTTGAAGAGTATAAGGCCTCATCGATATATAGTTTTGTTCCTTCTGGTAACAATACACTAGCTCTTCCGGAGACTTCAACTAAATTAGTACTACCATATATGGTACTAACATTTGCGTCTCGCATTTCAAGATAAATATTTCTTATCCTTCAAGATTGTATGTGTCAATGAACTATCGATAAGACACACATCATGATTTTTTTTAATCCTGGAACTAAGGAGGAGAAGATTCATTCTTCACAAAATATAAAAAATAATTAATATTAGAAATAAATCTAAAGAAATAATGACCTGATTAAAATAGATGAAATAAAACCAAGATATATTAAAATAATAGAAGAATTAATTTTGAAATAAAAATTCTCAAATTTTGAAATTTAAATAATTTTTATTTAAAACATTACTATCACGTAATGGATGATTGAATTTAGTTTCATTCATTCATTAATTTAGTTTCATTCATTCATGAGGGCAATAATATATAATCCTTTTATCTTTTACTTCTAGTGAAAAGATACATTTGTTGAGTGTTTTTATTCAAACACTAATATATATTTATATAATAGCATGTCTCATTCCATTCACTTTTAAGAATGATTTTTTTCATTCGCTTGCGGGAATGAAATAGCATCATTTGAACTCATTTTCTTATCAAAAGTTCAATACGCTTTCACCTTTAATGAGCAAGAAACTACCTTATAATTTCTAAAATTTCTTGCATACCATTGCTACTTCAGGAGCACATATAGATGTTCATTTTCCTTACAAAAACTCTAAGAAAAATTAATAAAGTCTTGTCGTACAACGGGTACAAAACCAATGAAAATGTCCATTACAATGATAACATACATTCTTAATATCTTTGTTTCCCTGTTCACTTCTTCCCTCATCGCTATTTTCTTTGATTATTCCACTTATGGGGAAAATATTCGGAAACTATCAATTCTCTTCATGTCAATGTAAAAATCAATAAGAATATAATCATACACATATATCCATAAAAGAAAAGAGAACGTTGATGTACCTTAAACAATGAATCTTTCTTGCAGAAGAAAGAACTTCGTGCGGATAATGTGTTATGAAATAATTGTAAAGATGAGTAGATACAAGAGTAAGAGTAGAGACAAAAGAAAAGAGTAAGAATAGAGCTTTTTTATGCATAGATGTGAGAATGAATGTGAAATTGTGATAGAGTATAGAACAAAAGTGTAATTTTTGTTGTTTTCTGGGTAGATATTGTAATAGTAGTTTGTGTAGGTACTAGGTGGTAATTTGGTAAACATATAAAAGCTGGACAGTGTAAATGAACAACTACCGTTTTGATGCAATATTCAATTTTCTCACTTCCGCAATTGTGAAATCTGGCATGGTATCAGAGCAAAACTAGGGTTTCATTCATTCTTGATTTCTTTCGTTTCTCTCTTCTTGCGCTGCGATGGCGATTCCTCTTCCGGCGAATCTTGATCCCAATCATCCATATTACCTCAATCAGAACGAGAATCCGGCGCTGGTGCTTGTGTCGACGCTTCTTCATGGCAGCAATTACCAGTCCTGGGCGCGATCGATGAGGATGGCGTTACTCGCGAAGAACAAGGTCGCGTTCGTCAATGGTGAATCTCCGCGTCCTGGCGATGCTGATCTGTTGCTTCCAGCTTGGGAGCGCGCCAATCTAATGGTCCTAGGCTGGCTCTATCGTTCTCTGGAGCCGACGATTGCTCAGTCGATCCTCTGGCTCGATTCTGCGAGGGAAGTGTGGCTGGATCTCCAAGAACGCTTTGGACAGGCGAATCTGGTTCGAATCTCTGATATGCATGATGAGATCTATGGATTCAAGCAGGGCAGTCTTACTGTGACAGAGTATTACACTCGATTAAAGGTTCTTTGGGATGAGTTCTTTGCGCTTCGTCCTCTGCCTGGCTGTACATGCACTCCTCGATGCAGATGCGGAGCGTTCACAAGGCTTCGTGGTTACGTTAAAGCCGATCAGATTATTCGGTTTCTTCGTGATCTTCGCGATTCTTTTGGTCCGATCAGATCGCAGATTCTCCAGCTAGATCCGTTACCACCGATCAATCGCGTGTTTGCTCAGGTCGTTCAACAAGAACGTGAGTCTCGCCATGGAACTTCTCTGGTTCCGGCGGTTCAACCTCCTATGGCGTTTGCGGGCAATTATGCTCCTTCGTCTTCTGCTCAAGGAGGTGGTTTTACTCAAGATGCTTCTTCATCTGGTCAACTTCGTCGAGGTCAAAAGGATGGATCGAAGAGGCCTCTCTGCACTTTCTGTGGGCTTGCTGGTCACACAGTTGACAAGTGTTTCAAGAAAAATGGGTATCCACCTGGATACAAGGCTTGTGGCAAGGCAATCAATGCTGTGTGTGCTGAGGATTCTACAGATGGAGTTTCTGAGGATTCTGCCGAAGGTTTTACTCTTTCTCGGGCTCAATATCAGGCATTCCTCTCACTTATTCAGCCTCAGCAGCCTCAGCAGTCTACCAATCTGGGGTCCATCAACTTGATGACGATTTCCAGCACTCAGCCTGCTGATCCTTCAACCTCGGCTCTCTATGAGGATGCAGCTGCAGCACAGTCTACCTCTTCTGCATC